ATAACTCGGATTCCTCGATAAGTCGGACAGCCATGCCCAGCCAGTCGTGTCCGACTTATCGAGTTTCACTATGTATAAAAACAGCCGGACTTTGCACTTTACAAATTTAAAAATGAGGTTAGCGCAATTTCCTAAATAGTGATAAATCAGCAGTAGATCAATGCACGGAAAAATAAATGGAGTTTAGTTTTTATGGAAAAGGGATATTGTTACAGAACTTGTGTGCCCGACTGACCGACTAAAATTATAAGGGTGCTAAAATAGTTCAGGAATCATGCCATGTGTATAGGCAACATTTGACAGATTCCTTCACATATATGGGGTCACACAACAGCCAGAGACAAAAAAAATATACAGTATATGATCGTGATGCAATGGTAATCTTTTATCGTATTTGGATCAGTTGACGTGGATGAGGAAAGCTGAATGTCTGAAGGTATTGCAATTCGTCTCTATATTATTGCGACCTTCACGACGGAAAGATAGTTCTAAAATCTACTTGTGAACTATTTATCTGTGACCTTGGACTCTCTAAATCGGCGAACTCGTCCAAGTCGGGTTGCTCGGCCCTTCAAGGCGTTTTACGATACATTGCACCGGAAGTCTTTCATACCAGTCAATTCACCCAGAAATCGGATATCTATGCGATATTCTTGACGGAATGCGGCCAGTAATGCCCGATTCGGCACTAAAGCCTTATAAAAAACTTGCTGAAAGGTGTTCTGATGCCGATCCTGACAAGCGTCCAGATACTGATGAACTCAAGCTTGTATTAAAGACATTATCGCAGTAGCAAAATGGGATGAATCCGGTGACCACGGATTTGCATATGTTATAAGATGTGTTTTTTATAAGAACTATATTATTATCATCCAATCGCGCTTTTCGCAATATCTATAGCTTTTGCGTGAAAGTGTCATGTGTTTTACTATGTGAGCTTATTTAGCACTAGCTCCTTTGAGATTTAGCTATAACAAGCTTACTGTTGAAGATATACGTCAATCGCTGGTACTAGGAACTCGGAAACCAGATTTTGTATTTATTCAAAAAAATACAAATGTAGATTACTTGAATATTATGGCTATCGGTGAGGTAAAGAAACGAACTGGTGACAACTTTAGCAACGCGCAAATAGGACAAGCAATATCATACGGTGAAAAACTACTCCAACTTCAGCCACGACGAAGTTCTGTTTTAGTACATGACTACTAGAAATGACAATGGATGGAAATACCTGGTAACAATAATGGAAAGCTCTCCGCAAGACCTGGGGTGGGATCAACTTTTGGCACGAACACTGTAAGGCTGACTCGATCTATTGGTGTGGGCAGAACAAGTGTTGTGTATGAAGGAAAACATAATAATGCATCAGTGGCTGTGAAAATGGCAAAGAAAGCAGATTACTTGTCTTGTATTAGAACGGAAATAGATGCATTACAAAACCTGTCAGAATTGGGATCACCTCATATTCCAAAGATCCTTTTCAAAATGATAACACACTTGTAATGACTCCGGTTGGCGAGAGAATTAATAATTTGCGAAAAAAAGACGTCAGTGATACATCACCCCCACTCTCCAAAGCGTTCATTCACGTGGGATTATACATAGAGATCTCAGAAAATTTAACTTTGGATGATTTAAGTGAAAATATTCTCATTGTCGATTAGGGTTACAGCATAAACAACCACAATCTGTTTTGTTCGTTCATTCTGTTTAATGCTCCATAGACTAGAGTTCTCTTCGACAAAGATGATAATATTGAAAAACGAGCACGTATGTTATTAAATTTCTGGAAAGATTGTATGGAATAATATCTACGAGGCGATAGATAACTTAAGTTGTGAGATCAGTTAATTCAAGAGTTTGAAAGGTTATTTTAGATAACTAGTTTTACTAATAAAATCTGACTCATTTATTTCATTGTTGTTGCCACTGTTGTCATCATCATTGTCGTGTCAAGTGAATCATAGACACAGTGCATTTTCCAACCAAATAATGCTACAAGAATGTGCTCTGTGTTGTCGAGTTGTATGTCATAATAATAACAAAAGTATAAATAATCTTAATTCAATCGTTTCCTTGTAATTAGTTATTACTATCACGCAACTTTGTAAAGCCACACCCGATTATTTGGTTAAGTCTCTCGACTTCGTCCTTGTGATTGTGGGCACCGAGGACGGCTATGCATTATCTTAATATTGAGAACCGTGCAGACGTTTTTGATTTTGCGTGTCCTTTATTAAGCACAGCTAAAGTGGTGCAGACATTTTTGATTACCTCTCTTTTCAGTTGTCACTTTATAGGGTCTTTGAATCTTAAACACGTCATTGATGAGATGTTTTGCAACAGCCGCCGCTTCCTTGTTCATCATTGGGACTGACTGCCACAAGAAATTTTGAAAATGTACAAACATGTCAACAGCCATGCGTTCTATATCCGTTATTTACATTTGCGTATTCTGTGTACGACACATTTTACAATGGTTGTTTCAAGCGTGTCGAAATACGCGCATAAAGCATAAAAGAACGACGAATTATTATATATGATTATTAATACTTCACTCTCAATGACAGTATCATAATCTCTAAAAAATGTTATTGGGGTTCACTGATTGATCCATTGCAATGCCAACTAGTTTATTTGTGACAAAGAGAAGATTGTTTATAGTATTTTTACATGTATGTTACAATTTATATCTACTGGATTAGTGTTTAAAGTGCGTTAAGTACCGTGATTCACAGTGCGTAAACGTGCACTCGCGTCTCAAAAGTCACCGACTACCCCCCTACACCCCTACATTTGCAATTAAATGAGAACATTGGTATAACACGCAATGCAATTACCGTGAAATTAATAGCGAATTTAGCGCATATGGGTAAGATACACATAAAAATTGCAATATGCTAAATAGTAAGATCACGAATTTACCTAAAAGCCGACTTTTATCCTACAAAATTAGGTTTGCAACTCAAATATTTAAAATTAAATCCTATATAACTTTGCACAATTTATAAGCACAAAAAAACCGCTATCAGATTATAAAAGATTTCCCGATTATCTTGAAAATCGAATTTTGAATATAGGGTACATTCGGTAGTCACTGACCAACCCCTAAATTTGAATATTGGCATAACGTGCAATATAATTGCCGTGAAATTAATACTGAATTTAGCACACTAGTGTACAACATGTTTACAAAAATTGCGATATGTTAGCTAGTAGTAATAAAAAATTATATAATTACTTTTGAGTTACCGGAAAACTAGCATCACGTTATGTGTCCTAAAAGTTTAAAATTGTTTAAAAATTCAATCCACATAATAAATTACACAAAAGAGCAAAAAACTGCTATCGAATGCAAAAAACTTTAGCCATTTATCACTTTATACCAATTATCTGCAAGTGTTCTCGATTTTGCCGAAATAAGTGGGTTTCGAGCGGCAACTCGGCTATTATACCCCGATTCATACAAAGCTCGGTTTATTATCGATATACTAACAGCAGTCCCAATTGATTGAATAACGTCTGCATGAATTTATTTTGTAGTCTGCCAGTGATTGGTTCGAACAACTATTTCAAGATGTTGTTTATCTCCGTCTGTCAGTATTGGTGGTCTCGTGGGGCAGGAGTTTTGCTGTACCATCTTCACAATACCTTACTATCGATTCATGTATTGTTGACTTTGGATGGCCAGTTTTGAATAATGCATGCAGATTATATTGTGGTTGTCACATGCATGTAATTGTGATTTCGGAGCATTGTCAACAATGGTCCGAAATCATTCAAGGTGCAAATAAATAAATCAAATCATACTTTAGTTCTCAACAACAAAGCAAAATATTTTGGGGCGAGCAATGATTTATTAATTTTTAATACGTGATGGAAAACAATGAGCAATATTTTTGTTTATATCAAGCCATTAGAAGAGATATAACAATCAATACACCTAAAACTAGCTATCTAAAATAACCTTTCAAGCTCTTGAATTAACTGATTATAGCTTAAATTATCTATCGCCTCGTAGATATTATTCCATACATCTGATCGTCTACAATCTTTCCAGAAATTTAACAACTTACGTGCTTGTTCTTCAATATTATCATCCTTGTCGATGGGAACTCTTGGTCTATGGAGCATTAAATAAAATGAACGAACAAAGCAGATCAAATCAACTTGTGGTCCATAAACAATCTCTTCTCCATTGATTAATGATTGCAGGACATAGTCTGGCATACATCCCAACACCCCTGCAAATGTGGTGCTTTCAGAGTTGTTTGTGCTGCAACCCCAATCGATAATAAGAATATTTTCACTTGAATCATCCAAATTACGAAGAAAGTTAAATTTTTTGAGATCTCTATGTATAATCCCACGTGAATGAACTTTTTGGAGGGTGGTTATGATATCACCGATGTCTTTTTTTCGCAAATTAATAATTCTCTCGCCGACTGGAGTCATTACAAGTGTGTTGTCATTTTGAAGAAAAATCTTTGGAATATGAGGTGATCCCAATTCTGACAGGTTTTGTAATGCATCTATTTCCGTTCTAATACAAGACAAGTA